CGCCCCGCCCCGGCCGCGGTCCCACCCAGCGGACCCGGAAGCCCCGTCCAAGACCCGGCCGGGTGGGAGGGCGGCCTGCTCCCGAGGACTTGACCCCCGCGGGGGTGGCCGCGCAGGGTCAGGGCACCCCGAGGAAAGGGGCCCGGTTTCCTGGAACTTGCGAGGAGGCGCCCTCTGCGTCGCGGGGTCAGGGGGCTGGGCAGGCGGAGGCGTCGCTCAACTCCCTTTATTCTGCGGGATGACCCGCTTCACTGGCCGAGGCAGGCCCTTGCCTTGCAGGGAGGGGTTGCTAGTCTTTCGATTTCTTTTTATTTACGCATTTGTTTTTTGGCAGTAGTAGGGGTTGACCCTGCGCTCTACATTCCCTGCATTTCTTCCAGTGAGACGGGGTCTAAGTCGCTAAATTAACCAGACTGAACTTGAAGTTGCGATCCTCCTGCCTCAGCCTCCCAGAGGCGCTGCTGGGTAGGGTTCCTGGCCTGGTGCTGTGGGGAGCCTGGGAGACTCCAGGTACCAGCACCAGCCGGGGCTTGGTCCAATGCCCATCTTAGCAGAGCACCCCCGGGACAGTGAGGCACTTGTTGGGGGACCTGCCCCACAGCCAACAGCCCTGTGTGTCCCCACAGGCGTGGCCTGGCCATCACACCAGCCCCTGGTTCCAGCAAGCATCCCGTGCAGGCAGAGTTCTGAAGTGGGGTCAGGCAGCCAGCCTGGGCTTCGGCAGGCCGTCAGGGCCCAGGAGGTGAGCGTCCGGGTCGTCCAGGACTTGCGGCCCCGCCCCCACCTGGGGACAGACATCAGCCTGAGGTCATTCGTGACCCGAGCACCCATCTTGCCAGCTCACCCAGCCCGCCCAGGCTGCACCCTGCCCTCGTGTGCCCGCCCCATGGGCCCCACACTGCAGGCCCGGCCCTGCAGGAGCAGCAGCTGCCACGCCCCATCTCACCTGTGTGGCAATGATGTACTGCACGCCTCCGGGGACAGGCTCCATGGCCAGTGTGGCTTTCAGCTCATCCGAGACAGGGACAGGTGTCACCGGCAGCCCCTTCAGAAACCTGGGGACAGTGAGGAGCAGTGTGTGTCCTTCCCTGTGAGCCTGGGAGTGGGGCGACCTGAGTCGGGGCCTCGGATGCACTTGGGGAGATGGAGCACAGGGGAACTAAGACCCCGCTGCAGCCGACACATCCGTGCCCTGCGCTGCCTCCGACAGGCAACCAGGGCTTTGCTCAAATCATTTGTTTTTAAATGTCCAGATATTTAACCTGTTCCTCGGGATACAAGGAGCTCCCTAAAGCAAACTAAAGCCACCATTAGCTGGGGCAAGACCACAAGGGTCCCTGAGCTCATGGACAGTTTCTTTTTTTCTCTTTTGTTGTTCTGAAACAGTCTCACTAGGTACAAGGTCCAGGCTGGGCTCAAACTTACAATCTTCCTGCCTCAGCTTCCTGCTGACAGGCATGTGTCACCACAACTGGGCAGGGGGTGCTATTTCCTAAGCGGGGGACGTGGGCACCAGCACAGGGACATGTGCCCTGTGAGCCAGGCAAGCTGAGCTGTGGTCCCCAGGGGCACCTGGCAGGACACTCATCCTGGACCCTGTCGCCTGGGAGGGGGAGGGCCCATACTCACTTGTCTCCGTTCGCCTCTGGGGGAAAGACATGCCTCACGGTGGCCACAAACTCAGCCACGGTGTCATCCAGGGTGAAGATCACAGCGTTGGGGCCTGCATCAAACGTGTACGCCACCTGGAACCACAGCGGTGCGCTGTCCCCACACTCACCCCAGACCAGACCCTGTCTGCCCAGAACTCAGCAAGAGTGGTGAGCAGTGACCCAAGGGGTCCCATCAGCACATTGGTCAGAAAACAAACACCTAGCACAGCCTGGAGCCGCCCCTGCGGGGCACGTGTAGCCACACCCACGCCCGTCCTGGGTCAGCACCTTCATGTGCCCGTGATGGGCGTTGAAGCGGTGAACCAGCTGCATGATGCGCCGCGACGTGTCGTTGAGGTAGGAGATGGGCGGGAAGGTGTCCAGGCAGGTGGCATGGAACTGGTTGCTGTCCTTCATGGTTAGCTCGGCGAAGCGGGGGAAGTCTCGCTCCTGGATGCAGCGGGCCATCTCTGCCATGCGTGCCGGCACCAGCGCCTCGGCCCGGAACTGCAAAGCAGCTAGGTGTCCAGGGGAGCCGGGGGCTCAGCTCTGCCACCGCGGACAGGAGCACAGACGGCCGCCCCTCACCTTGAGCAGGGCGCTGGTCTGTACACTGGTCTGCATGCCCACTGTGCTGCCCGTTGGCTTCCGCTCCGCGCTCACCTGGCAGGAAGCAGTGCTGGGCCTCACACCACGTAGGGCCACTCCCGACCCCTGGGCCTGGGCCAGCTGCTGCTGCTCCTGCCCTCAGCCCCCTACTCACCACCAAGATGAGAACTCGGAGCTGGGGCCAGTGAGACTCAGGGGCCACCTGCCGGGCGACACTGTCCTTGCCGTCTGCCCGCTGCCCCATCTGCCACTCCACGAAGCCCCCATACAGGCTGCGGCAGGCGCTGCCCGAGCCCCGGCGAGCCACCTCTGAGAGGTCGCCCTCAACCTGGTAGACTCGGGCCAGAGTGTAGGCTGCAGGCGGGAAGAGCATGGTCAGGGGCCTGCTGGGAGCCACCTGGGAACCGGGCTCTGGGCTGGCAGGGCTGGGGCGGCCCAGGGCACCCACCGAGGCAGGCGAAGCCCGCTGCTGAGGAGGCCAGGCCGGCGGCCGTGGGGAAGTTGTTCACGGAGGCCACGTGCACCCTGTCACTGAGGCTGGGGGTTGGCGGGTCCCCCTCCCCTGTGTTCCTGCGCTTCCGAGCCAGGCGGCGGACTGTGGGCAGGGAGGACGAGACACGTGTGGCTCCTCCTGACACCCCACCTGCCCCGAGTCTGCAGGAGGGCACAGCCCGCTCCCCACTTCTCAGGCCCACTCCTGGGAGGGCCTGGCCCCGGCCCCCGGCCCCCGCAACCCTGCTTACTTTCCCGCAAGCAGGCCTGGAGGCGCGGCTGCTCCACATCCTCTTCCCTGCCGTTCAGCCAGATCCGGTCCTCCGAGAAGTCCTTGCTGATGGCAGCTGTTGTGGTCGTTCTTAACTGGGAGCAAACCCCAGGGCCGTCAGGGCAGGGCCGGGCAGGACTGACAGGCCAGGCAGGCCTCTCCTCCCCAACCAGCTGCCCTGGGGGAGCAGGAGGCCAAGGCAGGGAGCTCCCAAGGGGACCGTGGCTGGTGGACGGGTGCCTGTGCAGCGAGGGCCCAGTGCATGGCCGAGCCCTTCGACGCCAGAAGGCGGCTCAAGGGCAGTGCCGGCCGGGGCCCCACGCAAGGCCACCTCCGCCTGGCCTTTAGGTGCTCACCTGGTCCTGGTGCAGAGTGACACTCAGGGAGGAGTTGAGGGGCAGGATCAGCTCCTCATCTCGCTTCCCCCCTGGAACAGAGGACAGAGGTCAGTGGGCCCCAGGCCCCCTCTCACTGTGCTCCCTGCTGTCACACACCCCGCCCCGCAGCCCCCACCGCGCCTCTGCCTGGCTCTCCACAGTCCAAGCCCCTCTGGCTGCCCGCCGTCTGCAGGAGGCCTCCTGGGCTGCCTCGATGACCCCAGGGCTGTCTGCCTGCCTGCACCATTGTTTCCAAGTAATTTTCTTCCGTTTACTCCACAAACCGACCCTGAGCATCTGCTGGGCCCTGCGGGCACTCAATGCAGGCTCTTGGCTGTCTTTCCGTCTGCCTGTCCCCCAGACAGAAGCCAATTCCTGGCAGCGGCTCCGAGCTCACTGCAGTCGCCCCTTTCCGCCCACACCCCCCTCCCGCAGGCACCAGGAGCACGCCGCCTTCCGCAGGCCTGAAGTGCAGGGACGCCAGGGCCCACAGCACCACCTCCAAGCATCACTTTCAAACATCGCCAAGCACGGAGACACCTGCTCCCTGTGCCTCCCACCACACGCCACGGCCCAGGTGCTGCTCCTCGGCCCAGCGGGAGACACAAAGGCCACGGTTGGCTCAGGAAGACCCGGTGCTGTGTGCCCTGCACCTGCATGGGAATGCAGAGCTGCCCACAGGCAGACAGCAACCTGCCCTCCTGGCCAGGGCAGCCAGCAAGACGGAAACACCCAGCACACCACGTCATGGCACAGCCTCCCAGGCGGGTGGGGGGCCCAACCTCCTCCCCCAGGAAGGGGCAAGACCGTTCTCAGCTCCGGGCACCTGGACCGCACCCTGCCGACTGGGGGACCAGGCCACGCCCAGTGCCCAGGAAACCTGGATTCTGCTCCACTCTGCAGAACAGGCCACACCTGCACCCACCCAAGTGCCACACACCCGCCAGCAGCTGTGACAAGACCCAGGGATTCACAACAGCAGAAAACCTTTAGGGTCACCAAAGCCACCTGTCACACCCAGAGGAAGGAGGACCTCAACCTTCTGAAAAGGACGCGGCAGCAGATGCTAGAAACGAGCGTCACCTGGCGAGAATCCTAAAGCAGCCAGGACGAGGATGTGTCAGTAAGCAGCCCGACAGCCGCTGGAGGCGAGGCCTCCGCCCAGAACAGAAGGGAAAGCGTCGCCCGGGAAAACCAGAGCTGCAGGGACAAACTCAGACGGAGGGGGCCGAGGGCGAGGTCCGCACGCTGAAGACCTCACTCAGCAGGACCCACGGGGCAGAAGTCAGGAGACCTCAACCAAGATGCAGGGGCGGTTCCAGCAAAATTCAGCCGCCACAGCGATAAGCATAAAGCACGGTGGAGCCGTAACTCCACGCGGGGCTAGCGGAATCCAAGCATGACTTCTTGTATATGAGGCGTTATTTTAAAATGCATATGGAGCCTGGTGTGGTGGCCCAAGCCTGTAACCCCAGCACTGGGGAGGCTGAGGCAGGAGGATCCCAAGTCCGAGCCCAGCCCGGGCAACTTAAAGATGCAGCAAGACCCTGACTCAAAAATAAAAACGGGCTGGGGGTGTAGCTCAGTGGGCAGGCCCTGGGGTCAATCCTCAGTACCACCAAAACGGGAAAAAAGCAGCACCAAAGACGGCAGAGACAGTTCACCAAAGACGTCTACAAATGCAAACGCACAGGGCAAGATGGGCAACAGCTTTGGCCACCAGGGAAACGCAAGCCAGAGCCACAGCAGTCAGGGGGGCACCGGGCGCGCGTGGACGCACACGGCCGCACAGCCCTGCGCGTCCCCGGCCGCCCGACCTGGAGGCCGCCTCGGAGGAGCCAGGCGCGGCGAGACG